TACATTATAATTCATTGCAATTTCAGTTTATTATTTTCTCATAAAGGATATCCCAAAATTTTCGACCCCTCTCAGTAAATCGATGATATGTATGAGAAACCGACGCATAGGTAATTGATCGGGATATATACTTTTGTAGAGGAAGATTAGAGTTATCATCTGAAAAAAAGACGCTTCAAAATGGATTGTTGTCGTCCAGTGTTATGGTTAATTTGCTAAATAAAACTGTCAGAAAGATAAATCCAAGAAACTGACATATTAGATTATGAATTGGAAGCAGTAAACTTCATAAATTCAGACAGTATATATGAATGCCTTTCACAATGGGAATAGAGTTACCAAATTACAATCATAATCAGCAAATATGATGAATGCTTTTTCAATTAAAATGATAATTCTTATATAAAATCTATGCAGACAAAAGTCATATAGCTATTATGAAACAAACATTATAAAATTTTTCTCAAAAAATATAAGATGAAAATATTTACTTCAGATCAGTAAAATAACCGTAACATTGGACTACATTTATGCATTTCGAAGTGTCTTTTTTTCAGATGATAGCCATGATTTTCGTCTACAAAAGTATATATTTCAATCAATTAACTATGTATAGGTTTCTCATACATATCATCGATTTACTGAGAGGGGTCGAAACTTTTGGAACATTCTTTAGAATATAGATATATTTTCACTATTTATTCATTAGACTACATCTATAAATTGATATACTTTGTGCTTATCTCTTCTCATGTTTATTTTTCATCAAACCGTTCCAGAAGAAATTAAATGAGCAAAAACACTGGCATCTCCCGAAAGTGATCAAAAGAATTAGAGGACAAAATAAGGATATAGGAATTATAATTTAATCATTATAAATACATAACAAAGAGAATGGATAAGTTTTGTTTTTACTGCTTACTCTTGAATTTACCGCATGAGCACATAAATAATATATTGTCAATTTGACTAAGTGATAAACATGTTCATGTTTGAGCAAATAGTCAATCCAGATGACTTAATAATCTTTTTAACAAAGCATCAGTCGCCGTTATGGCATTTAATCTTTTAATTGCTATTGATAATAATGAAAACTCACGATAGTTTTCAAGTATAAACCAGAAGTTTATTAGATTATGATCCGTTAGGTGACTCAGGTGTATATATGTGCACGGCAAGGTTTGTTCTTAGCCTGTAACCTAACCGAAAAATATTTTCTAATCTTAGCGTTGCACTGTCCTAAAGTATGATTACCATTATCCTACCCTAACCTTCTAAGCAGAGTAAGGTAGTTCTATATATATCTCTACTTGGATATTCTGCGTAACCTGCATGTTGTGAGATTTTCTGCTTAAATAGGAGTGAATGACCATAGTCATTGTAATTCATTTTCAAACCTTTCCAGATAGGTTTTTCTAGATATTCCAACAATTTCTGCTAAAATCAATCAGACCCTATTATCTATAGTACTTTTTTAACAAAAAAAATAAACGAAAAATATGTAAGAATATGATGTTTCTTTTTTCAGTAACTTGAATATTGAGATCATAGTTTTCAACGAACTGATTGGACTAAGAGAACATTTTAGTACATAAAAATAATATCGTCGGACAAATCTTAGTACAAGCTATCAATATAGGTGTGGAATATTACAAAGAAAAAGATGGTTCAGACTTCAAATTAATATAGAGAGTAAAATTCACTACTAGTGTAAATACCTTTGAATAAGATCCATCTAAAAAGATAAGTAGAACTTATTGGAGAATGTCTGACCATGTTTTACAGATATTATCATTATGATAGATATTTCTATGCCGTTTTATTCTGCATAAAAATCAACGTTTTACTATAAAACTTTGAATAAATTTTTTCTTCTTCTAACAATAATTCTTTTAAATATAATAAAAAAGAAAATATGGTTACCTGAAATTGAGGTGGTGGATTATTTTTAGCTGGTTTTCCTAATTCTGGTAACGTCCAATTATAAAAAGCACCGGCTGGATATGTGCATTGATTGTTTCTTGATCTACAGTCGCAAAATGATCCATTTCGTTCCAAATAAAGTGCATTGTATGTTTTGTATGATTGTGAACCAGGTACCGAATGCGTATAATAATTTGTACGTAAAGCTGACAATAATCGATTCTGTGCTATCATTAATGATGTTACTTTTGCAGTTCGTTTTTCATTAGCCAAAAGATTTTTTTGAAAATTAGAAATAAGAACATCAGCTAAATCATTAAATTGAGCTCGTGAAAAAGTAAGAAGCTCAACTAAATTAGTAGAATTAAATGCATGATAATTATCATTAATAGCTTGACG